CAGATGAGGAAAGAGGACGTTTGAAGCCTATCATTCTACGTAAACTTTCAGCTGCTGATTGGCTTACATCATAGATAGACTCCTAGATCCTCAAACATTTGATTATATGCTTTTATCGAGGCTGAAGCACCACCAGCCAAACCCAGAACGACGACCAATAAATATGTGTATATGTATGTATATTTTATTTGTCCAATACAATAACGTAATTTACGTTTTTATGTCAAATTGCAACTTTAGCTGTTATAAAATGTCCTAGAAGAGAGTAGTTGTTGTTTGTTATTAAGCACAAAGGATTTATATGATTTATACCTGCTTGTGTAAACCCAGTTTATTTATTATCAAAATGATAAAAAAAACTAAACCTATAAAGTAAATTTGACTTTATGTTTTCTTTAATAAATGGAAAACAATCAGAGAGATTATTACAAGAATATTTCTAAAGAAAAAATATCTTTTTTTTTCTATTGTTAGGGGCTAATATATTAGCCCATAGAAACTGAAATCGATCAAATTTACCAAGTTTTTAAAAGTAAATGTCTGAGTCCTTAGATGGGGATTACAAAAAGTGACATGTATGGAATGTTTTGTCAAACAACGCCTTGTAAAGTGGTGTATAATTTTATATTGATTGCCTAAAGTTCAAAAGTGGACAGCATTTCGAGTCTAATGAAGTTATAATCGCAGCCTTTCTCCAGTTATTATGTAATGTTTGTACTAAATTGGTTTGTTTAGCAGGAAGTGTGGCTCATTTTTCTATTGATCTTATTTTAATTTTACATCACTTGCATCATTACTTTGCACGAATTTTATTAATAAACTCAAAACGTACACATTTTCTTGAAATTAACATCAGAAGGTTTTTATAAAATATAATGCCCCCCAGTGGCACAGCGGTATGTCTGCGGACTTACAACGCTAGAAACCGGGTTTCGATACCTGTGGTGGGCAGAGCACAGATAGCCTATCGTGTAGCTTTGTGCTTGATTCCAAACAACATAGAATATAATAGAAGAGTGATCTTCAGAATCAGCTTATTGTTTATTTCAAAAATTAACTATGGATATATAAAAATGCAAAACAAGATAAAATTAAATTCTCCATTTCATTTGTTTTTATGTTTAAGAAACTTAAAAACTCAGCAAACTTTTAAACAAATTCAAACTTACTCCTACAGTGGCGACAGACTATAGTGATGTATATCTGGATATAAACAACTGCTCAACAAATTCATCAACAACCTGTTATTTAAAACATATGTGGTGCTCATGTTTGTTTTTCATTCTAGGTTGTGGTTTAACGAATAAACTCGGACTAAAGAGCAATTATAAATAGAGATATTATTGAAGGTTATCTATTTCTTAATAATATTCTGTACATAAGAATAGCTAACAGCGCCATAGCACGTTTGAAATTGAAAACTTTGATTTATTTATGAAGACCATTACTAAGTAGACGCCATGCTGCTAATTTCGGTAAGTTTATGGAGTTCGATTCCCAGCGGTTGACACAGCCTAAATAGCCAATTGTGTAACTTTACACTAAAACAGCAGAAACAACAACTGTTAATGTAGATATATAATATAGACAAATTTGTATCTACAACTTATTTAAATATATAAAATTGCTAAGAATATCAAGCTGTAACTCATTTTTTTATATTTCTTATTATACCATATATTTTTGAATACTAAAAACTGTATTTAGATTTTAAAGATAACATAAATATATCAATTAGGTAATCATATGATATCTCGAAAAAGTTTTGACACATATGTGAAATTTGTACATATATATTTATTAAAATATTTAAAATTAAGTTTGTTTGTTGTTAAGCACGTAACTACGCAATGGACTATCTGTGCTGTACCTACCATGAATATTAAAACCTGGTTTTTGGAGTTATACGCCTTCATACTTACTGCTAAGCCAGTGAGGGGCGAATTAGAAATTTGTCACCTTTTAAAAACAAAGCATATATAAAGGAAGTTATTTATTTTATTACATTAAATTAATGTATATTCAAATACAGTGATTAAAGATTGTAGTTGTTTGTTTCAGAATTTTCGCACAAAACTACGTCTAGGGCTATCTTCGCATAACTACCCATATTTTTGAGCTAAATAGATTAGAGGGAACGCAGGTAGTCAACATTAGCAACGCCAAGAGCACCCG